GGTCGGCGCAGTTGGGGTTGGCGCCTCTTGGAGGCGGCGGGAGCCATTTTGGGGCCTCTGGGCGGGCGAGGCCGTGAGCCATTTTGGGGTTCCCAGAGAGGTCAGGCATTAGCCTAGGTGTTGTCCCAGGCCCTGTCCAGACAGGACCTGTGTACTGGAGTGTGGGCAGCGGTGCTGGGCCAGCCCCTTTGCCACCGGCTGTCCACCGAGAGGATGACCAGGTCAGCGCAAGGTATCAATTGCCCTTGGGCAATTCAGGGGGCCGCTGTAGACAAGACTGTTTCCAGTGCGGTTGAAACATGGAAGGGCGTCTCAGTGAAATGTCAGTCCTGTCACAAGAGAGCAAATTGCCTGCTTAAAAGGGAGTCCAGCTGAGTAATGACAGTTAAGCACAGTCTTCTTCCACAAAGAACAAAAATTTAGAATTAACTCACTTAATTGTTTCAAGTTCTGAGTTTTGAAAAACTCGGAGTTCACTCAGTTCTGAGTTCACAGCAATAATTCAGTTTGAAGCCTGCCATCATTTGGCTGAGTGGCAGTGTTTAGCCTCAGCTTTGTCCACACAAATAAGGATAGATCATCCCAGAGAAGACAAGGATTTGTGTCTGACCTTGAACTAGACTGCCCCGGAAGTTAACAATGAATTTTACTGAGACCCAGCAAAGCAGGAAGACACTCGGAAAAGCCCCACCAAAGATGTTCAGGCCCCGTCAGGATGTTCTTTCCCAAGGAGGCGCTGGTCCTGCAGTTGGGATGTCCTCTCTGTGCAGCCCAGGGCACCGTTGGGATGTCAGTTCAGACAATGCTGAAAACTTAAAACCCTGCTTCCATACCTTCTGCTTTGGTTGCGTTCTTCAGTAGTCCAAACCTAGAGTTGAATGACCCCTGTGCAGGCAGGCTTTCTGATCGATTCTGCACAGGGAGGGGGCAGAAGGTCACCACCTGGGGTATGTCATCGGGCTTCCTGAAGACTTGTTTATTAGACAGTGGTCTACTGCTGAGAATGGCACCAGGCTGAAGGGGACATTGAGCTAAGCCACACGGTTGGCAGAGAGACAGAGGGCTGCCAGAGCCTAGCCAGAAGGCCCTGGGCGCATGTGTCAGAAGCAAAGGACAAAATGCTGAACTTCCACCATGCTCTGTGCTGCAGTGGGGTGCGCATGCAAAGAATTTGTAGTAGTGGCCATCACCAAAACATCCTGGTAGCCGCTCTCTGCCACAATCCTGCCAGCCTCCAGAGACTGCTGCCTGTGAGAGTCCGATATTATCTGAGCAGGTTCTTTTAGATATTCCAAACGTGGAGGGGAACACAGAGTTTTCTTATTTGTGTTTTTTTGCAGTTGCATGGGATTTTGATTTACTACAGTGACACGCCAATGCACTAAAATCACAATAGAAATTCAAATTACACTTAGCAGACTGTTGCAATTGAAATATATGTTTGAATTGTAATATAAATGTGAATCTCATCAGTCTCTACAATATGTGTATTGTCACAATGCTGGGCGTCTGTGTTTTCCAGGAAGGAACTGGGTTGAAGCCAGCAGCTGCAGCTCCCTCTTCAGAGTTCCTCTGGTCGTTTACTTTTTATACTTTTTGTTGGGCTGACCCACATATACATTCCCTGTGTTAGTCTGAGTTGCTTATGGCCATGGGGGTCTCCAGTGTTACACCTGTACTCTATGCTGCATCCTGTAAATTTGCTTCTCAGGGCCTTTGCTACCATACCAAGCCTATCTTTCTCATCACAACTTCATTGTGTCAGAGTTGCAAATATCTCATTCTACATAGAACAACTGATTGTTACTGCTAGCTATATAAAATTATGGTCATACTGTTCAAAGAGAAAACAATTAGCCATATAAGCCTGGTCAGTTTACAAAAATTGCTTTACAGCTAAACCAAGTAAAACAAGTTTCAGGCATGCCAAGAAAAGTTCAGACAGAGCAAGCATCGCAACCCTCAGCCCTGAAGCCTTATAAACTCTGCAGACTTGAGGCAATACTTGGTTTGTGAAGTGTTCCACATATTTCAGATAAAACAAAAAACTATTACAATCACTAAGTTACTATTATAATGTCTAGACCCAAGTTCAGGATTCTTGCTGCTGAAGAAAACTATCCAGGCTCCGTGGTGGCCAACATAATTTTTCCTTCTTCATACTGTGACTCCGATAGAGAGCTGTACACACCTGGAGCTCAAGGCTGTCAGCTCCTGCTAAGTAAGATTCCTCTGGCAGGCTGAATATCTCAGGGTTGCCTCAGAGTTTTGTGCTCTTTGCTTTGTGACTTCATCAGCTACTAGTTCTAGGTGGAGTCACAGCAGGCAAAGTCACTTTTTCTCAGAGAATGCCAAGGATCTTTAAAAAAGTACAAAACAATAAGCTAAATACCTACTATGGTTACATGAATTAAAAAATACTATTGATTAGAGTAATAGGATCATAGTTTATAAGCAGATCCAATACCTACCCGGGCTATGTTATTTTAACAATAATTGAATCTCTAAAACTGATGTTGTCCTTGTGTGGGTCTACATTTCTTTAAGTCAGGGACAGACAGTTACACAACCAGTTGTTACACTTAGCTGATACAGCCAGTTTTGTCTAAAACAAAGACATCCTCTAGATTCCTCTGGTGTTGAGATGAGTTTGGCTTCTTTTGCAACTGTTGTGGTCAATCTGTCCATTATTCTCCCTTGAGCCTCAAGGACATGAAGCCTTTACTTATCTTATCAGGGCATTCCCCCATTTGCGTGTGTGTGTGCTCGCACGTGCATGTGAGAGAGAGAAAGAGAGAGAGAGAGGGATCCTTTAATCCGTCACACTCCCATTGCTGCAGTGGGAACCAAGAGGCCTCTTTGGAGCCCACCAGATGCTGGCAACTCTCGTGGAGCTCATTGTACTGATGAGCATGAGGAGATGCAGCCTGGACAGTTCTGGGGACTTGGAGCTGCTTTTGCTGAATCATACTTGGCAGTTCCTCCGTGAGCTTATCAGCTTTGCCTGGTGGTCATGGAGCACAGGGGCCTTCAATGCGCAGGCCATGTGTGGCTGCCATGCTTCTGGCAGGCACAAAGGAAGCCTCTCAGCTTTGCGTGTCTGGCGGCTGCCACAGGTGGGGCCATGTCTCCAGCACCAGCCCAGAGTGCAACCTGGATTGGTTGCCGTCAGGTCCCTGGGCATGAAGAGCTTGCCATCTCCTTGTATGCCGTTGCCCATGAGCTGCGTGTAGCCTCATCCTCTCCTCAGGGGAGGCTCTGACAGCGCAGCAGGTTGAGCAGGAGGAGAGCCTGGAGACAGTTGCAGGCTCCTGCTGACACCCACAACAGCAATTTCTTGTTGGACAGTTGCGTGCTTGTGGGGTACTAGAGGCACTCAGTGGAGGAGAGCCCTGCATGGGCTGTGCTCTCCTCAGACTCAGAGGACTCAGCCTGGCAGAGGAAAAGGAGCTGAGCAGAAAGAGCAGCTAGTTCAAATGTCTGGCTGGAGCCACAACAAAGCCAGTGGGGGCTCCTCCCTGTGCTCCCCCCCCAGCAGAAGAATACCAGCTGGAGCTGCCCTAGCTGCTCCCCTGATTCCCCTGGGAAGGAGATGAACCCGAGGAGGGGCAGATGGATAGCCAGTTGTGCTCAGGGCTGCAGCTGGAGCCTCTCCGCTCCCAGCAGGGACAGGCACTGCTCAACTGGAGCTCCCACCTGCCTGGAAAGAAGAGGGCAAGCAGCCCCAAAGCCTGTTCCCACCACAGCAAGAGACAGTCATGGCTCTGGCACAGGAAGGGTGCATGGGCGTAAAGCTAGACTGCTTTAAGAGATGATGAGAGAGCAGAGGCAGAAGCAGCCAGAGGAGCCAAAAATAGGGACAGATCAAGAGGTCAGGATATTGGCAAGTCATAGAAAGGCCAAAGAGGCTGTGAAAGTTGTGCAAACACTCTGGTGAGGGAGGCCAGTGGATCCCATATCAAGGACCACAGCAAGAGCAGTTCCAGGAAATGAAACAGATAACGCTTATTTGGAAGAAACAGTGCTCAGAATGCGCACAGCTAGGAAGTGGGAGGTGGGGGAGCACCCTGATAGGTACTGCGATCACTCAGGGCACCGGGCTGCGGACAGGAGAGAGACCTAGCTGCAGGAAAAAGTGAAGGAGCACTCCTTACCTTGATTCCTCAGACATACAGAGAAGTGCATGCAGCACTTCTTTCTCAGGGATGACAATGTAATGTGCTCTTCAAAATGTCTGTGGATAGGAATAGCTCTGAACCAGCTGTGGCAAGGTGCAGTTCATCTCTACCTTTATCTATCTAGTCAAGCTTTCCTCTCTCTGTATATGTATTTTAAACGGAACTCAGTCCTGAAGTCCAGACAAGATTTTGTGGAAAGATAGGAAAGGGGTCATTCTCAATGTGTTTCTTGAACAAGAAGTGATCGTTCTGTGCTCTGCTCATGGCCATGCCTGTGCAGTTGTGTTAGTGAAATCCTGGGCCTGAAGCGGAAGCCCAACACTTTTAACCATATCTGGCAAATGCTTTGCTGTAAGATAACCAGAACATGGAAAGAAACCCAGGTAGATTGCTGAGGATTATTGGAGTTAAGTCTGAACAGTTAAGAGGCAATTTATGAAGCT